TGGATAGGATAGTTAAAATGGTGGAGGAGTTTTTACAGAGATCTGTATAGTAGCCGAGACAACCACGAGCTTACTATAAGAACTAGCAGTAACCCTGATGGCACCGAACGATTAATGATAGAAGAATCATAAAAGCGTTGGAGAGCATGCAAAGAGGCAAAGCTGCTGGTGAGGAATAGGTAACATCAGATCTGCTGAAATATGGAGGACAGATTGTGTTAGAAAAAGTAGCCACCCTATTTACGAGGTGTCTCTTGACGGGAAGGGTACCAGAGTCTTGGAAGAACGCTAACATCATCTTAATACATAAGAAAAGAGATGACAAGGACTTGAAGAATTACAGGCCGATCAGTTTGCTCTCTGTAGTGTACAAGCTATTTACAAAGGTAATTGCTAACAGAGTAAAGAAAACATTAGAATTCAATCAACCAAAGGAACAAGCAGGATTTCAAGCAGGCTACTCAGCAATTGACCACATTTATACTATCAATCAGTTAATAGAGAAATGCTCAGAGTATAACTAACCACTATACATAGCCTTCATAGATTACGAGAAGGCGTTTGATTCAGTAGAAATATCAGCCGTCATGCAGACACTGCGGAATCAGGGCGTAGATGAAGTATATATAAATATTCTGGAAGAAATCTACAGGGGATCAACTGCTACCATAGTGCTTCATAATGAAAGCAACAGAGTACCAATCAAGAAGGGTGTAAGGCAGGAGGACACAATCTCCCCAATGCTATTTACCACGTGCTTACAGGAGGTTTTCAGAAGCCTAGAATGGGAACAGTTAGGTATAAGAGTTAATGGAGAATACCTTAGGAACCTGCGCTTCGCCGATGACATTGTATTGCTCAGTAACTCAGGGGACGAATTGCAACTCATTATTACGGAGTTACACAAGAAGAGCAGAAAGGTGGGTCCTAAAATTAATCTGCAGAAAACGAAAGTAATGTACAACAACCTCGGAAAGGAGCAGCGCTTCGAGATAGGTAATAGTGCACTTGAAGTTGTAAAAGACTATGTCTACTTAGGGCAGGTAATAACCGCAGAGCCTAACCACGAGATTGAAGTAACTAGAAGAATAAGAATGGGGTGGAGCACATTCGGCAAGCACTCTCAAATTATGACAGGTGGATTGCCATTATCCCTTAAGAGGAAGGTATATAACAGCTGTATCCAGCCGGTACTTAGCTACGGAGCAGAAACCTGGAGACTCACAAAGAGGGTTCAGCTTAAATTGAGGACGACGCAGCGAGCAATGGAAAGAAAAATGTTAGGTGCAACCTTAAGAGACAGGAAGAGAGCGGAGTGGATTAGGGGACAAACGGGGGTTAAGGATATCATAGTTGAAATAAAGAAGAGGAAATGGACATGGGTCGGGCATGTAGCGCGTAGACAGGATAACCGCTGGTCATTAAGGGTAACTAACTGGATTCCGAGAGAAGGAAAGCGGGTTAGGGGGAGACAGAAGGTTAGGTGAGCAGATGAAATTAAGAAGTTTGCGGGTATAAATTGGCAGCAGCAAGCACAGGACCGGGTTAACTGGCGGAACATTGAAGAGGCCTTTGTACTGCAGTGGACGTAGTCAGGCTGATGATGATGATGATGACGATGATGATGATGGAGCACAATTGTCGAGTGCTCTCCAATTTCGACAGATATATTGCCACTATTTCTCAAGGGGAAGGTATGTGACTGCTATATTTGTCCAGTGCTTAGCTATGGAGCAGAGAGCTGGAGACCTCTAAAGAGGGTTTAGCTTAAATTGAGGACCACGCAGCAAGCAATGGAAAAGAAAATGGTACGTGCAACCTCATTAGACCAAGAAGAGTGCAGAGTGGATCCGGGAACAAGCCGGGGTTAAGGAAATCTTTTTTTGAAATCAAGAAGAGGAAGTGAAAATGGGCCGGCCATGTAGCGCGTAGACAGGATAACCGCTGGTCAGTGAAGGTAAATAACTAGATAGCGAGAAAATGCAAGCGGGATAGAGAGAGACAGAATTTTAGATGGGCAGACGAGAGGTCTATTTGATTCAGCCTGCACCTTCTGCACTTTTTCACGGTGCGCTGCACCTAGGTCCTCGATTCCCGAAGGTGCAGCGGCGCCCCCTGCACCAACGTCCTCGATTGTGGCGGGTGCAGGTAAGGTGCTGCCGCGGTGCCGCGAACCCTTGAACCTCCCATCGCGAGGCTGCAGCATTTTGGGTGCAGCCACACAACCTGCTGCCCGCGCATGCTTGGCATACAGCAGGCGACAACGCGACCAGCAGACGACAAATATGCCGGTGGTCGCGGACATCGACGGTGTCCAGACCGAAATTTTTCCCATCGTGGACGAGTTTGGAGTTATCGTCTTTGACGGCGACGCCGAACTCTACACTACCACCGGTAATTTTGGAAAAGCATGCTGGACCATTTGTCTGCTCACTGGCCCGACGGGGACATTTATTCATTACCCTTTGTTTTTTTGTGGTTGTTGTTTTTCCTTTTTCAGATGGGAGACAAGTGCGGGTAGTTTGTGCGTCGGGTCCTCTTGCGAATGCTTACGCGACAAACGAGCATGCCATGCCGGCTATGCCTATAACGCAGCAAACACCGCCAAACAAAGCTGAGTCGACGACGCAGGCGTCCGCTGCTGCAACTGCTGCGCTTTCTCCGGGTCGTGCGCGTCGCGACGACTTGGAAGAAGCTCTATGGAGCTGTCGGAGGACCAGATTTTTGATTGAAAAATATAAGGAAAATTTCAGAAACATCGGCAAGAAGGGAGGACTGAGGTGAGGCAGTGATGAGCACGTTGGTGATAAGCACGTGTGCATTACTTTGTTAACTTTTTTTTGCTTCCACGAAAAGCAATTGTTCCTATACATGACGGATGCCCTGAATGAGGAATTAAAGTGCTCCCTGAGTGTGCTTCAAATGACGAATAAGTGGAAATCACTTGAAAGAGCCTACAAAAGAGCCCGAGAAAACAATCGGAAGTCCGGCAGCGGAACTGTGGAGTGTAGGTTTGAAGAGTAAGTTTTCAGTGCTCATTATATCTTCCTTCTGAGTGCGTAATGCTGTCATTAACCAACTTCTATTTCATGCATAGAAAAAGAAAACAAAAAACTTGCACAGTGGCACGCACTTAAGTGGTTTTTCTTTTCACTCGAACCAGCTCATTGAAGCAGCCTTCTCCCTTACTGAATTTGTTTTCTGCAGAACAAATATGCCCTACAGTAAACCCCAATGTGCCCCCAAAAAAGTTATCATGCAAAACAACCTACATGCAACAAAAAAGCTGTTAGGAGTTTCAAAAATGTTTTTGAAAACCCCAATTTTTTGTTTTTAAGGTGGCAGGGCTTGTGCAAAATAAATTTAGTTAGCAATCATGCATCTCTTTCTCTCATTTCTTTGCACTACATGCAACCAGTCGCCCAAAGTCACATTACGCTAAAGCATTAGGAAAGTCTGAGTCTCTAGCAAGTCTGAAGCTTCAGCTATTTTTGTCATCCTTGTTATGGGAACTGTAGACAGGCGATTGCACCACTGTAGGGTGCACTTATGGTTCCTACAAGTCGTGTGGTCCGGCCATAATTTGTTTGTATTACATTATGCACTAGTAGCACTACTTTGTTTGCACACGTCAGCCCAGAGATCCTCTCTTGCACTATTTGCCGGTTATGGATGCAATAATAAACCGAACTGGCTGATTTCCCATTGTCTTTCTCCTGCCTTAGGATGAAAGATAATTGAAAGAGAATGATGTTGAAGCTAAAGTTTAGGAGGGCTTGTCTTTCCTCTTGTGATAACTTTGGCTCAAGCGACATTTCCGGTTCAACAGATCACATCATTGCAAGCCTCTATCTTCTCCTAAACTTTTTTATAGTGCGAGTGGAAGTGGTGACGGAAGGCACGTTGCCATGTACATACTAATGCTTTGATGCCAATTGCATTCAATTTTCAGAGAGATGGCAGACATCATGGATAAGCAACACCATGTCAGCCCAATCGTGACTTATACACAGGGGTGCAAAATGGTTCGAGAGGACAAGGAAACGTAGGCTTGGTCATCAAAGAGAGGTAAAAGCGCCACTACTATACAATATATTTTTTCACAGAGAACCAGAGGCTCGAGTGGAAGCTGCAGCCCCAGGCAGCCAGGAGTCAAGTGCTGAGGAAACAGCAGAAGTGCAGAAGCGTAAGGCGAAAGATCCGCCTTTGGTGCAGCTGCTGGAGGAGGTTGAAGAGATTGAAAAAAACAGGGCTGCTAGACACACAGAAAAAATGGTCCTACTGGAACGTTTTGTGACAGAGTATGAAGCAAAAAAATAAACTTCTTGTTCTCATGAAGTCTCGTTTTATGGCATTGGTACAAATCACATAGGAAGGTGAAAATCGGAGGAGCAAAGCGTGTGAAACACACGATCTCAAGTCTTGACGGCAATGTTCTTGCGTAGCAGTTCACACAAGTATGCAAAACATTTAAAAGTCTCCTCAGCATTGTGTGTCAGCAATGTTCTTGCAAAGTAATTCCAAGCATGTAAAACACTTAATCTGGTCTCAGCACTGTGTGTCGGCAAAAGCAGTTCACACAAGTATGCAAAACATTTAAAAGTCTCCTCAGCACTTTGTGTCGGCAGTGTTCTTGCAAAGTAGTTCACAAAAGCATGTAAAACACTCAATCTGGTCTGAGCACTGCGTGTCGGCAAAAGCAGTTCACATAAGTATGCAAAACATTTAAAAGTCTAAGCACTGTGTGTCGGCAATGTTCTTGCAAAGTAGTTCACACAAGAATGTAAAACACTGAACTTGAAGGCTGAGCACTGCGTTTCGGCAATGTTCTTGCGTCGGCGTTTACACATCTCTCTAACAGCTGCAGTGCATATGATGGCTCCATCGTTGTCATTTTCAATGTCGTCTTCCCTCGGTAAATCCTCGAAGTTGCTCAATGTGTCGCGACTTCTGCTACATAGGCTGTGTAGCACGCATGCTGCTGTGACAATGAGGCAACACTAATCAATGATGTCTGCATCTACAAGATATAACCGCCTGAAGCGCTGCTTCAAAATGCCAAAGGCATGTTCTATAGCTACGCGTTGCTGGCTGAGCCTCTTATTAAACTTTCGCTTGTAGCGCTCAAACGTGGCCCTGTTGTTCTTGTATGGAGGCATTAGCCATGGAAGGAGCGGGTATGCTGCGTCCCCTAGTAAATAATCGCCAGCGCACTTAGATTCTGCAGTGCCATAGTAGGGGTTCTCTCTCAACACACGTGCGTGTTGTACGCTGCCAGAGTAACCAACAAAAATGTTAGTGAAACGGCTGTTTGCATCGCAGATTTCTTTAAGGATGATTGAAGGAAATTTTTTTCTATTGTGGTAGGATGCCGGTGATTCATTCTGGTGCAGAATCTCTATGTGGCAACCATCAATACACCTAACAGTGTTCCTCGGACCTTTACCGTCGCTCCTAGCAGCAAAGCCTGCTTTGATATTCGCCCGCTTTTGATCGCTGGGCCAAGCAATCACTTCATCACTGATGCTAAAGAGAAAGTCAAGAACCCGTTTCAAGCACAAAGACACGGATGACTCGGAGACATCAAAGGTATTGGCGATTCTATACATACTATTCTGCGTGCCCAAGTAGCTGAGAGAAATCAGGCAAGTTTTCTCCGCTGGGATTTGGGGGCGTCCTCCCCGCGGCCTAGGAAAAAGGGCGACGACTTGAAGCGCCCCACGAGTGTTTCGAACGTCTCTCTTGACAGCCGAAACAGGTGCTTGAATTCGTAGTCAAAATAACGGGCCACAACTTCCTCGTAGTATCTAGGTGTGCGGTTACGATCGCTGCGGACCAATTGGGCACCAATTTGACACAACACTGCATCGTGTTCCTCATCTTCACTGTCAGATTCAACCAATTCTATGGCGATGTGGAGTTCCTCCATGTTAACAAATCACATGCAAATCCTCGGACACACATCTGACACAACTGACAACCGCTTGCCGGTGCGTCCTAAGCCTCACTAGCCCCGTACTGCCCGTACCGTAGCAGACGAAAGGCTTGCACTTCACCTCAACATTCGATTGACATTTTAGCGGTGGCGCTGCTCATGCATTGCATTTGCACCCCGAAACGGGTGCCGAGAAATCTGCGACACTGCTGCACCAGGTGTCGGCACCGGCTGCACCTTTTTGTATACGGTTCCGTGCACTTTTCCTAAATCGAATAGACATAAGGTTAAAAAGTTTCAGGTATAAAATGGCAGCAGCAAGCACAGGACCATGTTGACAAGCAGAACATGGGAGAGGCCTTTGTCTTGGAGAGGGTGTAGTCAGGCTGATGATGATGATGATGATGATGACAATAATGATGATCATGATGATGATGACTATGTTCATGATGATGATGATAAGTGTACAATGACAATTCGTATAGTGCACCACTACAGTTCATGGACCACAACGCCACGTGGCCGAAAATTTTTCACGACACATACGCTACATCCGTGGCGTATGTGTCTAACAAAACCTATTTATTATTAGTCTTTACGTAAAACGTACTATTTGAGCTAGACGTGGCTTTTATTACATCACATAACGAGAGCAGGTAATAGATGTGGACACAAAGTTTTTATTGATTGCTGCAACTACAGGTTGGGTTATATCATTCTTATTTTGTTGGTACGAGTAATCATTTGTACGCCTTATTCTATGGGGTCTGAGCAAGTTAAATTGAAATATTTTGTAACATATTTATTATTAGGATTGACGTTAAACGCATCATGCGAGGTAGTTATGTGCTGCTTTAATTATATAGCAGAGCCGACGATGTATGTGGCCAAAAATTATTTTACGATTGCTTGAATGATATACTTCGTTACTGCGTTCGAAGCAATTTTCTGTAAGTAATGAATTCTAGGTCTGTATGAGTCGCAATTGAAGGATTCAAATTTCAGCCTTGATTAGACGCGCTATCCAGAGCCAATGATCTATTTCATTACATTTTACTGGCTTGAACTATATAAAGGCTATGCTTTAAACTATCTACACATACTCCCTGAAGAACTGGTAGAAGAGCTGCGGTGAGTGAATGAATTCCTATGATTATTTTTGTAAATATGAATTGTGTGAATAATAACTGGCCCCAATATATAGTTTGCAAAAAAAGTCTTATGTGAGGGTGTCACTAATGTTGTAACCAGACGTACCTAAACGTACAACCTTCCTCTTGCGTGCTTACACCCTTCAGTTCATATTGCATGTTGTTAACCCATTAAACACTAGTTTCTTTTTTCATACGTGTTGTGAAAACATGTGTCGTATTTCATTTTTATATGCATCTGATAGATCATGCTGACAGTATCTATGTGAATGAAGACTTAGTTTATAAGATATGGCCCATAACCATGTGGTCAATCTGGGCCCTTGGGGTACAGCAAAAGTGACAAATTTTCTGTCACGACTAGACACATCGCGAAAAGAATTATGAATTCGTTCGAAACCTAGTGAGAAATGATATGAAGCAGAAAATGCCCATTCCGACCTCACATTTGCGGCACTATGTGGCCACCCCACTATTGCAGTGGTGTTCAGCGCACCTACGCCTTTTGCTACTAAGCGTAGTTGCGGCGAAGGTTGCATATTTGAACCAAAATGCAGTTTCTCAATAAGCGTCGATGTTTTTCGATGATGAGTTCCTTTTCGCTTGTTAATTTCATCTGTGAGGTAGGTTTGAGAAATTTTTCTGCGCAAGTAAAGTTAAGTGACGTTGAGTTTTGTGCCCCGAACGAGCACCACGCATCGCTTATGGCTACGCTACGACGTGAACATCGCTCGCAATCGCCATTTTTACAAACAGTCCTAATCCACAAGGCGCCTACATTTTCGTCCATCTGATCGGTATGTTCCCTAAAGCATTTGTATTTGGGAAGGACACTGGGGCGAGACGCCGGGACATTTGGTGAACTCGAAGGAAACTTCACATCTGGAATTCTGTCCCTTACACTTAGGCAGGTATTGGTGATGCATAGTCCTGCTCTTCATACTCTGCTTTATATTTTAGCAGTCACATCCACCATTGACGCAACCATCAGCTAAATTGTTTTAACACTTAGGTTATCAATAAATTCGGTGCACAAAAAAACGGCTATCGAAATTTTTGGAGTCCTCCACAACTACGTTCCTCATATTCAGATCTTAGTTTCAGAGCGTAAGTTCACAATGCTTATTAAGTCTGTTATATTGAGGTTGTCCTTGACACTGCCATAATTCTCATCAGAGAAATTGTTTTCTTATTAGGTGGTCGTCTCCAGTAGATGAAATTAGATAGCCGAGAGATATTTATCTTTTCTTCGAGTATTGCAATAAATTTAAATAAACATAGTACTCTAAATTTACAGTTATTTTACGTGCTTCAACCCTAAAATATTGCACCGTGCTTAGAGAATTCTGATATATTTTTTCGCCTCTTAATTATTAGTTCAACTAGTACGTTTTCAAACATTATTGCAACAAATACTTGAACAGGTTGCGGAGGTAGGCTTGATTACAGGGAAAAGTAATCACCGTTAATTATTTTATTCAATTAAACACTGCTTGCTTTTTTCCTGGTATCGCTAATGGCGCATCAAAATTTCTGCCACTCGATTATTTTCATAAAACATACTCATAGTATTTTTTCCGACTCACCTATTTTATCACCGCAAAGCACGTCAGATAGCGCGGCTTGCTACCATTAGGCAGGCCTCACATTCCGAAAAAAAAATTTTCATGTATCTACTATAACACAGGGTAGTGAAAATGCCCTCCCTCTGACATTGCATCAATCAAGGATAACTATTGTTTTCATGTGGTAATAAATAGGTTGTATCAGTACAAACACATTAAAATGTGGTCATTTTTATCTTACTATTCTTTGAGACCAGTTGATCTATATTCCTACCTACTTTCCTGTGTGAATTTGTCTGCTTTGAGGGCTGAATAGAAAAAATAAAATAAATTAGTGAGCACAACAAGGACTTTTTAGGGTTACTCCAGGATATGTTATCTTCTACCTCTTCAGAGTTTTCGTCAGACCCCTATCTACAAGAATATGTTCGTGAATTGTAGCTTTCGGCAGGTTACGAATTTATTTGTGGTCCAACTCACACAGGGACAATAAACAGGTGAAGACCAATTGTGCTTTTTATGTTTCTTTTTTTATTCTGAACGGCGTCTAATATAGTTTGTTAAGAATTGGACCACGTTGTCAAATTTTACGTGCATGAAACGCTTCCACAATTTACTCAATGGGGGTCGTAAAAAGTGAAACTGTCAGAAAACCATGGTCTCCAAACAGAGTCCTGACACACATTTTGGTATTTTAAAGTGTACAATTGCCCATCGGCAGCGGTAGCCGTACAAATGACTAGACAAGAATGTATAAAGCTGAAGAAATTGAGAAAGTACCCGCAGCAATGCAGCAATTTTTAAGCACTATGATTGTATTACAAATGATTATAGAAGCAAAAATAATGTGTAAATAAGTAACATGAAAGTATCGACTGTAGTGCTAAATCCTTAATGCCTAAAATTGTTTCTGCAGCGAAAAAAAGTTCAAAATGAAGAACATTTTGGGAATGGACCTTCATGTTGCTGTTGCCGTCGCACTGGGTAGGCAATGCTTTGGTAATATTTAAATAAATAATACGTGCTCTAGGCCCCGCCATGGTGGTATAGTGGCTAAGGTACTCGGCTGCTGACCCGCAGGTAGCGGGATCAAAATCCCGGCTGCGGTGGCTGCATTTCCAATGGAGGCGAAATGCTGTAGGCCCGTGTGCTCAGATTTGGGTGCACGTTAGAAACCCTAGGTGGTCTAAATTTTAGAATACTTCCACTAAGGCGTCTCTCATAATCAAATGGTAGTTTTGGGACATTAAACCCTACGAATAAATTAAATCAATCAATACGTGCTCTAGAACAATCTCATTTATTGGAAACGCCCGAAATATAGTTTAGAAAAAATCAATCACTTGATTTGGCTGAGCAAATTATGCATTCATCAATAGCCTAGGCCAAAAAAGTAAGGCATGGGCTCCTAGAGTTATCATTATCGCAACGATCGCGGAGCCTTACTTAAGGTTTGTTGAATGCTGTGTAGTGGCATGACAAATAGTTTCTACTACCACTCTCAAATTTCTCTGTCTGTTCATCGTATTTAAAGTTACTTTTTGTAGTGATACCTACTGACTGAAGCTATCACGAAAAATCAAATAAAAGCGCATAAAACTATGCCAATTCACACTAGAAATAATAACTCATCATCTAAAGGAGCAATTAGAACCTGCGCTTTTCGTTATTTTTATTCATTCCATTACGCATAAAAATGATCACATACTCTTTGTAAACCAAATAGCAGTATCATTGCATAGCTCTTTGTATGAAAATGGTTTGTTACTGACAAATACTGGGCCTTTCGAATAGTAAGCGGGCATTCACATTTGCACCACTTTTCTGAATGGAGCCCCACGCAAGTCTCAAAACAACGATACACTTCAAACTTGCGATCGCAGCGCCAAGTTACTTGACCTCGTGTGGTCTCCACTTTTCGAAAGTTGTTCCAGGCACTCCCTCGATTCAGTAAACTGTAATGGCGGCTAGGGACTGTGAAGGGTTTCTCGTGTCGACATTCGGAGAATCCAGTAGACTCTATTGACAACTGTGGTGTTTATCAATTCTGTGTCGAGTAACCCACATCCACTTCGATGACACTATTTTCATGTCTAACAAAGCAAAAATCACATCATATCCACGGAGTGCATGATGATGAGTGGAGCGAAGCGTCCATCCGTTCTTGAGTCCATCTGTCCGTCCGTTCACCTGTGCGTCCGTCCATGCTTCCGTTCATCCATGCGTTCTTCTGTCCGTCCATGCATATGTCCGTCTGTCCGTACTACCATCTAGTTAACACCCGAAGTACCACCATCTGGCATGTGTTCATTGTATATTCAGCATAAAGAAGTATTGCCATGAAGCGAACGTTACAAAGACTAAACAAGAGGTGGCCCTCGTGCACTTTTTTACGGACTGCGCTTCGTGTCTATTTCCCACTTTTCTCCGCCTCTAGTTAATGGCACTGTGGCCCGATCCTTGCTGAATCTTACTAAAACCAAGCAGGTTATACCCGGCCAGTTTAGCATGGCAACACTTACTGTCAGATAGTGCCTAAAGCGC